CCCCCCACCCCTCCCCCTTCTCCCCGCTGGTCCAGGAGGAAGATAAATTAGCTGCAGCAGAAAAAGACAAAAGCTCTTGGTGAGCAGGCACGGTCTGAACAGAAAAGCCAGCCCTGAGGACTATGTAGGGCGGCCGCCGGGAGTCCCCCGGGTCTGAAGAAACGCAAAGCAGCCTCGTGAGCAAAGCGCCCTCAGAGCAAACGGAGCCGTAGCAGCGAGGCTCTCGCCGGCCTGGGGCGGCTTCCCCAGCACCCTTCACACGGGCACCCTCGGAGCCCTCGGCCCTTTGGGTGTTCTGGACATGGGGGGGCTGATGGCATGGTGGGGTGAGCGGCCCAGAGAAACGCAACTACTGTAAGCTTTGATTTGTGACCTTCTAGCTGGAAAATAAAAGAAAAAAGGGAAAGGAAACGAAAGAAAGCCTCTGGAAGGCAGCCAGGCCTGTATGTGTGGAACTTGGTAGGTCGTTAGACATTTGTTCATTTGTTGAATACGGTTAGATAGAGGTTAGATACGCAAGATTAAATCGGTGCAGTGGACATAATAGTTTCTTTTTTAATGTTTCGCAATAAAACAGGAGACTGAGTCAAGGCCCGCGGGGCTGTTTCTAGGGGAAGAATCAGGTGACCAGGCCGCTCACTCCACAGGTAAGTCAGGATTCCCTGCCTTCAACCCGCAGCAGGAGATCCCAGCCCCGCTCTGTCCCTAATCAGCTTCTGACCTGGGGACAGGTCACATAGCTACTTTAGACCTAAACTTCCTTATCTATAAAACAGGACCAGGTTTTATCTCTGGTGTCTCTTGCAGCTGTGGCTCTGCATGATCCTTGACTGGGAAAAGTTCTAAAATTAATAACTGATAGACAACAGACACACACGAAACTTTTTGGTCGTCATGGCTTAGTGAAGAAGAAATGCGCAGCAGTAGAATACCTGAATCTAACTGCTCGTAGCTGGAGAACTGAATTTCTCTTCCGTTGGCAGAGGATCAGAACACGTTGCAGAAGTAAATGCTGTCCATCGTCACAAACATTCCAGACCCAGCAAGTCTGGGGATCGTTGCTGTGGTAGGTGCTCCGTCGGTTGGTTTAGGTGTGTGTGAGTTAACGGTGGCCTCATATTGTTTGCCTTCCCCCCACGGAGACGTAGAGTCTAATTCCCCTCTCCTTGAATCAGGGATGACCTCAGGGGTTTGTTTTGGAAAATAGAATATAAGGATTTTCAAAAATAAACTACCTGGAACTTTCAAGGTTAAGTTATAAGGAACCTCTCATCTTCTACTGAGGTCTCTTGGAACATACTCTCTGGTAGCCCTGGGCTGCCTTGTAAGTTCAACTACCTTGAGACTGCCATGCCAGGAAGGCTACTGTGCACATCTTCTGGTCAGTAGTCCCAGCTGAACCCTGCCTTCTAGCACCCCCTATTGAATCCTGCTACTTTTTTAAAAAATACATCTTTAAAGGGAGAGGGAGAGAGAGAGAAACATCAATGATGAGTCATCATGGATCGGCTGCCTCCTGCACACCCCTGACTGGGGATTGAGCCCACAACCCAGGCATGTACCCTGACCGGGAATCAAACCAAGATCTCCTGGGTCCTAGGTCGATGCTCAACCATTGAGCCACGTTGGCCCGACGAATCCTGCTATTTTTTTATTGGGCCCTCCAGTTCAACCCACCAGCTGAATCCTCTTAGTGACCTCATCGATTCCATGTGACACAAAGGAATTACCCAGCACAGCCCTACTCAAATTCCTGACCGTCAAAATAGTGAAATACAATAAAGTGGCTGTTGTTTTAAGTCACTAAATTTTGCAGTAGTTTCTTAACCGGCAATAGTTAACGGAACAATGAAAAGTATCTGTGTAAGCCTCTATGTGTTTGTATATATAACCACCGTGATTAAATCCTTACCTTTTCCACCACCCTTTGGCAAAAGTATCGATTTTTTATAGGGCTATAGGTTTTTGTGCCAAGTTGTGCAACATATTTTCTAAAGAACATAATTTTACATGAAGTTCTATAACAACCTTAAGTAATAATTTTTAAAAGTAAATTTACAGCAATAATTGATCACATTGTGTCTAATTTATGTATTTAAGACAGTTAATTGTGGAGATCTCTCATCCCTAGGTTCTGTACACAGGAATTACCTTATCTGAAAGCTTAAAGTTTTTCATTATCCCTACCTTTGAAAGTATTTACTGTCATGCATTAACACTAAAGAAGTATGCTTTACTTCATATCAAAAATTCAACACTTAGCCAGTGCCAGGCATATGTTAATTTATCAATATATGTTAGCTCTAATCATAACCTATCCAATATGTCCTCAAAGAACATTGAATTCAACAATATTATACATTTATATGGCATGAGGAGGAACTATCACAGTGGTCTGTTATAAAGTATAACTTCTGAGTCCCTGTATCCAAAATCTACCCTAAGGGTAACTGTTTTCAACCTGGTCGTGCTTCAATCATGTCCTTGAAGGGTGAGGCCATTTTAAGAAGGAACTAAACTTTTTGGATGGAACCAAGGACACATATGGCATATCTTAAATTTGGTGTGTTTTTTTTTTTATAGTGAATCGTGTTTTAGGGAAGTTTAGCGAGAAAGTTTATCGTTATATAATTTCCTTTGAGAGCTTTTCAAATAAAAGGAAAGGGTAGATCAAAGGCCATTTTATTCAAGCTCAGGAGTTAAATTCTCAGTAGCTCCCAGGAACTTAAGACCTATGGAGGGGAAAAAAGTGTTATAAAATATATTGCCCTCTTTTATCAAAAGCAACCCTAGTTCTATTACTTCTGGTAGTTCTTTTTGTTGTTTTTATTATTTTATAGCAAAGTAAAAGTGCAGGGAATAGATAACTGATGTCATCAACAGACTTGAGAAGTTGGAGCCGCCCTGGTTGCATATGATAAGGTGCCTTCTGCAGCCTTTTGCCGCCACTGACGTGTTGGCTAACACCCCAGAGCAACAGTGTACTGTGTTGCAGGGAAACTAAGAAGGGATTGATTCTAAACTGAATCTTAGAGACATTTAAATTTGAAAAACATTTTACAATCCATGTAATATTGTGGTTTGCTAAGAGAAAAGTTTAACATTTTTAAAGGACAAATTTATTTCTAAGAAATAGTTTTCCATTCAAAGGCCAATTCTAGATTCATATCCAACGGAGTATTTTCACAGCTTAAAGCCCTTTATACAAATCACACTAAAGTGATTAATAAAGCAATAGTGAACATTCATAGAATTTATTAGTGTATAGTAAGATATCAGTGAAGCAAGTTGAAATTAATATGATAATAATTCAGTAATAAGTCATCATTTGCATAACTAAGCAAATAAGTTCAGTCTGTAGATGAAAAGCAGAGCTATGCTTAAGTTTTAAAAATAATAACATTTGTTCAGTAACAATGTTTGGAGTCCTTATTTGGGCAATGAGCAGCATTTAGACCCATATTTGGGGTTTTGTATTCAATTTAAGATGCTGAACTGTAAAGATCTTTCCTAGCCACATTTCAATAAAACAAACGTTCAAATTTTTAAAAGAAAATTAGTATAAACGTGATGAAATACAAGAATTTTGACCTCAATCAAAAAAGGAAAAGAAGAAATTTTGCCTATCACCTACAAAGTTATTGCTTATTTCCCAAGAAGAAAAATAGATATGTACCCCCAAATTTCCTTTTTCCAATCATTACCATTAAATATTTGTTATTATTTTATATCATTCTTGTTCTTGGCCCTTTAAATTTATCTGATCACTTAAAAGCATTACCATAACTGAATAAAGAATAGAAATGTAAACACATTCTGGACTTTTCCTCAGCTCAGAAGGGAGCTTGTTATTAACTCTACAGCCAAGGAATATGTGATTCTCCTGGATTCCTCCAGGCTTCCTCAGAGTCTCTGTTCTCTTTTACAGTTACTTTTAATCTTGTGAAAAGACTCCCGGAGGCAGGCTGTGGGAACCGATCTCCTCCAGGCTACTCAGAGCAGTTGCCCCTAGGAGGACACATCAGAACCAGCAGACATGCTGTCACTCAGCCCAGGGACACGCCAGAGGGGATGCAGAGAGACCCAAAAGCAAGCATCGGCTCTTTATCTCAGGACGTGATGGCAGCCTCAGTCCACCAGAGGAGCCACGTCACGCTGCTACCCAAAGAAGTGTAAGCTGCTTAAACCCTAACTGACCCCCCACTCTGGGCTAGTCTTCTATGAGATGGGTGTGCTGTTTGGGGGTGGGGATTAAAGACTAATTCCTCATAGACTGTCAGCAACTCCATCAGGAGAGAACTGAGGCATGGGGGCGGGGGGTGTGGCAAGGAAAGGTACTATTTATTCAAATGGCCATCTCTTCAAAGAGAGGCACCATCCTATTTGGTAACAACTGTTGCTTCCAGCCTTCATAGCTTACAACTACCTATAGACGACTGCCTAGATAGTTTTATGTCTCAATTTTAAGCTTTGTTTTCTAGTGGCTAATCATCTATTCTACCCAGTTTCCAAGATAGCCGTAAGGAGCCTCACTTCCTGAGATTCATGGCCTCGAAAAGCTGCCTCCCACATGAATGAGGGCAACATATAATTCCACAACCATCTCTATCATTATCTAGGTTGTTAGAATGTTTTGCTGTTAAAAACAACCATGAAACTAATACCAATGGATGTATTTAATAAAAATTATACTTATAGTAGTTAAAAATGTTATAGTAATCTGTTTAAAGGGTATTTTCCTTGTAAATATATTAAGTGCCTTTGATATTAAGGGATGCAAAAAAAGTTCCAAATGTTCAGTAAACACTTTTATAAGTAGTTACAAATATACAAAAAAGGATATTTGAAATATTTATGAGTTAAAGATGATAATTATGAGACAGAAACGATGTGCATAGTACTAGGTAATAAAATAGTAATTGTGAGAGTGATTATAATAATTATAAATTAAAAATCAATTGTAGGTGTAATAACAATCATATTAGTTAGTTTAAAACATAATGTTAGCCCTGGCTGGTTTGGCTCAGGGGTTAAAGCGTCGGCCCACGGACTGAAGGGAAGCAGGTTCAATTCTCAGTCAAAGGCACGTACCTGGGATGCAGGCTCAATCCATGGCCACAGTTTGGGCACAAGCAATCGATGTCTCTCTCTCTCTCTCTCTCCCCCCCTTCCTCTCTCCCTTCCACTTGCATTAAGAAAAATCAGTGCAAAAAATATCCTTGGGTGAGAATTAACAAACAAAAAGTCATATGAAATGCCAGGTGATGTGGCTAGCAGAAGGTTTATGAATCTGCTTATACAACAAGCCTTCCCAACACAAAGACTTATACAGAGCTGAAAATCACAAACATCAACTAACAAGACACCTTTGAGCCCCAAACTGATAAGATATTGGGATTTTCCATAAAAACTCAATATATACTTTATATCTCTAATATGCCTTACTGTCTATAAGACATTCAATATATACCTCCTGAATACATTTGAATTAATCTGTTGTAGCAAAAATAAAGTTAAGTAAGCAATACAAACCCAATTTTGGAAGAAAGAGAAAGCCTGATGAGCAGGGAGATGATAGAATGTCAATATTGTGGCTTACATTCTAGATGTCAAAGAAACTTCCACAGTAGTCCTGGATTGCATGTAAAATAGACATGAAAATGACACATTTGCAGGATAGTTCATTGAAACTAAACCCAAACCTGTCTGCTCTAAACTGGACATCCAACTAACACAGACCAATTATGAGAATTCTCACCAGCCTAGAGCACCTATGAGTTGAGTGTATAGAGAGAGAGAGAGTGTGTGTGTGTGTATTATGTATGTGCAGTTGTTTTTGTTGTGTTTTTTTTGTTTGTTTGTTTGTTTTTTGGTAGCACAATGTTAAAAATCAAAGATTTAGCTCAGGGATGTAGAGAACTTTAAAAAATGTCACCTATTCATCACTCACAACAACAAAAAACTGTCAAACTGACCGCAAGTGCATCGATTTTCTTGAACCCACCAGAGAGCTGAGGGCACAGGATAACCACTAGCCCCAAATCTAAGGAGAGACAGGCTTCTGCAGGGAGAGGCAAGAAATGGCCACTTGCTCACCTGGTGCAAACACAATGGGACACTGGTTGTGGAGGAGCTCATCCAGAATAGTTAACAAATTGGCAAAGGCTGAATGTGTCTGAGAGCTGCAGATATGGGAGTGTTTGCACCCTCTTGCAAGCTCTTCTGCATGAGCCCCATCTAGACCTCACTGAAAAAGCATCCCTGATCTTGGAGGCCTGAAAAGCCAACTAGCAGCCTCTGCAGAAAGGGTAAGAAACCCCCACTAGGGCCTTTCTCCTATATGTCGCCTATGGAACCAAAGCCTAAAGCTACTGCATAGGATAACAAACTCTGTCACCCTCAGAACACTTGTGAAAACCTGTTGCAACTGAAAAAGAGAACAGAAAATAATCCTCCCACCCCTGGTTCCAGTTTGCCTGGAACAGATGTGGGGTTTTCGATGCTAAAAGTAGGAAGGTCCCTGGCTCATTGGGAGGAGGTGGTCACCCAAACCCTGGGTGAGGCTCTACAATACCTCTCGATGCACAGCTACTGGAGAGAGAGGAACAGGAGCACAGAGAAGACCACACCCACCAGACAGTGCCCGCCTAAGGCTGAGACTCTATCACAATAGAGAAGTCCCTCTCCCCACCACCAGGCTCGTAAGCTGAGTCACAGGCAACAGAGAGGTAGTGCTGGAGATAGCCAAGAGTGAAGAGACAGAGCCTCTTTGATGTGCAGTGCAAAGGGAAGGCCTAATGCTGAGGGGGAGGCAGACATTGAGAAAAACTACCAGCAAACCAGCCCCCCAACTGAAACACAAGGAGTCACTAAAGGAATTTGATGCTGTGGCACTGAGGCTAACCACTGCAGCTGAGGAAGGGGAACCTCAAACTCAGCCCAGCTCCTAACTCATGTCGCATGCTAAAATTCTAGCAGAAAAACAGGTATATGCACTTCCAGGCATACAATCTATTTTTCCTCACCTCTACTCTCCTAAACAAGGTGTCTGGCTTTCAACAAAAAATTATGAGACAGACGAAAAGGTGAGAAAAACAACACATTGTCAAAAATAAAGCAGTCGACAGAACCAGGCTTGGTATGACAGAGCTATCGGAACTAACTGACAGGGAATTTAAAATAACTATGAAAAATGTGCTAAAGCTCTAGGTCAGCGATTTTCAACCTTTTTCATCTCCTGGCACACATAAACTAATTACTAAAATTCTGTGGCACACCAAAAAATACATATTTTGCCGATCTGGCCCAAAAATTCGGTATAATTTTGATTCATTCACACCAAACAGTTATTGTTGTGTTGGCTGTTGTCATTTTTTTTTTTTTTTTGACAACCTAAGGGAAAAGAGGACAGCACCCCTGACTAAATAGTCAGGCATTGCATGTTTTAAAAATTCTCGTGGCACACTGGTTAAAAATCACTGCTCTAGTGGAAAAGAAAAACAACATGCAAGATCAGATGGGCAATTTCAGCAGGACATGGAAACTGTAAGAAAGAATCAATCACATTGAAATGTAAGAAATGAAAACCAGAGTAGCAGAGGTGAAGAATGCCTTCAATGGGTATCAGTAGACTTAACAAAGAACCAGTGACCTTGAAGGTTGGTCAATAGAAATGACCTAAACTGAAACACGAAGAGGAAAGAATTAAAAGTTATTATTAAGTATTTACCCAAGAGAATTGAAAAGTTGTGTTCACACCAAAACCTACACATGAATGTTTATCATGTCTCTCTTCATAATCACCCCAGCTGGAAACAACCCAAATATTTTTTTCAGTCAGTTAACAGACGAACAAAGCATGGCACATCCACACCGTGGAATACTACTCAGCCATAAAAAAGGAACGAACTATTGAAACTTGCAACAACACTGATGAATTTCAAATATATTTTGCCAAGTGAAAGATCCAAAGGCTATATATTATATGATCCATTTATGTAACTTTCTGAAAATGGTCAAAATAGAGACAGAAAATAGATGAATGATTGTCAGGAATTGGAGGTGGGGGAAGTGTTGTCTACTAAGAAGCAGCATAACGGAACTTTGGGGATAATAGAACTACTCTGTATCGTGACTATGATAGTGGATACATGTGTCTAAGCATCTGTCAAAACCCATAGAATTTTACCCCCAAACAAGTTAATTTTACTCCAGGTAAAGTAAAAAATATATATACTAGGATATAGGGGTATCCCAAAATGGAACACAAACTCTAACAAATGTTACTAATCTAAACCATGAATAACATTACCACACTAACACAGGTAGAGAAGAAAAGAACCAACCTAAGTAACTTCAGAATACTGTATTTTGATCAAATATTATTAAGGCTCAAGAGGAAAATTATTGTACAGATTTACTATATTCTAGTTAGTAAATGAGATGTGAGTTAGCAATTCTGAGCTTATTTGTGTGCACCAAAATTGAACAAAAAGAGAAAGAATGAACCCTATGGTATTGGATTAGAATTGGATTGGAACTATAAACTCATAGTTTTTATATATTTTTAAATATACATATATAGTTATATATATGTATGTATATATGTATATATATATAAACTTGTAGAACTAAATACAAATGTGTGTAGGCATGGTGTTAATATCATGTATATAACATATATGTATATGTAATATACATATATATTTTTATTGATTCAAATTCATATGCCTCCTTCATGAAGATTTACAATTTTCCCTGTTCAGAGTCCATTTTTCTTTATAAGTCTCTTATAGCACTTATCAGATTTGTCTTGTGCTTTTATACATATCTTAGATGTCCTTCCAGATAGCAAGCTCTTAAAGGTCTTGTATGGATTTTATCTTTTACAACACCCTCTGTGATCTCTTAAATGGTATAGGTGCTCAGTAAATTTACTGCGTGGAATTTAATGTTAGAGACATCTAGACACAAATCTGAATGCCTGGGAATCAACATGCCCTTGAGATAATTACTTCTCTTCAAGCTAGACTTCACAAGGCCTTAGAGAAAGTCCAAAGATACTATGTAGGGTTCAATTCTGGGCCCTCAACTCTTTCCTTTCCATTCTCTTCCGTATCATCTAGTCCCTATAACTATGAAAACTAAATACTGATGATCCCTGAATGTATATACCCATCTTTAATATCTCCTCAGAGAAACTTGGGCATCTTCCTGCTTGTCCCTCTCCATCCCTCTCTCCCCACTTGCCTCCAGCTCATCAGGGAGTGATGTGCCGAATCTCTTCCAGCTCTCCCCCAGTTAATCCACTCCTGCCCTCATGGCCATAGTCTAAGCCAACATCATCCCTCTCCAAAATTTATGGAAGTTTCTGAGATGATCATCCAGCCTTACACTCTTTATTTCAACTCCTTCATAAAGCAGTTAGAATGATTAACTTAAAAACCTAAATCATACCATGTGTCTAAGTTGTTAAAACATCCTCAGTAGCTTCCCACTATAATTAGAATAAAATCCGATCACTTTATTTCTTTTGTTCCTCAGAGCTCTGCACACAACTACACTCCGGGTCGTGAGCCTCCTGTCAGTTCCTCTAACTCAGACTCCTCTTTCCTTCTTTAGAGCCTTTGCTGCCACAGTTCACATCTGCTAGAGCAGAGCTTCTCAGATTATCTGTGAAGGATCAGCTCTTTCCTTTTCTTCAATCTA